ATTGCCAGGCCAGAAGTTTGCCAGGTTTATTTGCAAACTCAAAATTTCTATGTCTAAACCATTTTATCTTCCATTCTATCTCTTCATTTATTATCATGGAGAATTGCGTCTGTAAAATTTTTATACTTTGCTTAATTAGTTCATCATCTGTTTTTTGGAAAAGGATCCTTTCCTTTTTTCTAATTTCCTCCCAGGTCTCCATTTTCTTCCTCTCCTTTGTTTTCCTTTGGAATGCATTTTGTTGCATAAAGAAACCTCTTATGACGGTTTTACCCGTCCATCTCCCAAACCCCAAACTCCCAAATCTCCCAAACCATCTCTAGATCTACTCCTTGATTTAAATTAAACTTAAAATATTCTTCTAAGATTTGCTTGGCCTTCTGTACAATTTTTTCATCGTTTAGCATACTCTCATTAGGTTGCCACCTTTTAACCTTTTCTTCTTTCCCTTTAAAGTTAACCCAGACCGCACTGTGATCTGAAATTGTCCTTGGATGGATTCCTGCTTTTGTAATATTATTTAATAAATCCTTTGTTCTCCAGATCGCGTCGATTCGTCCCGCCGATTTATGTGGCTCTGAATAATGTGTAAATTCTTTATCTGTTGGATTCTCAAACCTCCAAGCGTCGAACAAATTCAGGAGTTCTATTAATTGGAAAAATGTAGTTGGGAGTTTGTTCTGCCTCTTTTCTTTCTTCTTTATTGTTCTGTCCATGTTTGGATTGACTACTCCACTAAAATCTCCTAATAATATAATTTCCCCCCCTAAGTATTCTATGACTTTTTCTTCCAGGAATTGATAGAATTCGGATTTTCTTTCATTTGGTGCATAAATTCCAATAACTATCACTTTTCATTATTAATCTTAACCTCTATAATCACTGTTCGGCCTTTTTCATCATTGTAAAGCAGTTTTGGCTCCAGCTGAGGTTTTACATAGATTACCACCCCCTCTTTTTTTCTTTACTTGATGCAATAAACTCAAGCCCCAATCTCTTATTTATTAATACTCTTTTATGTTTTTCCGCTACATGAGTTTCTTGCAGACAGATTAGATCATATTTTTGCTTAACCAAAATATGTTCCACCTTGTTCCTTTTTTATTTTTCATTTAAACCATTTACGTTCCAAGTAATAAATTTATAATCCATACTTTATTTCTTATGATACGTAAACTGGGTTTTTTTTTTAAAAAAAAATACACATTCAAGGTCTCAGTATACATTTAATAAATTCCCTTCTTAGATCCCTAACCCTAATTTTATATTGCATTTTATAAACCTTCACACTCTTAGTTTTCATCAATACAATAGTCCTCTACCATTTACAGAACTTCTTGAAATCCCACTAGCGTTATTTGCTCATCACATACACATTTCAGATAGTCTGAAAATTTCCCCCAGTCTTCAATGAACTTTTGATCTCGTATATATCTGATCTTTCCTGTTAGTTTGTCTAGTTCAGCATAGTCCATTAGTTTCATTCTCCATTCTTCGACCGTCGGCAGTTGTTCCTGTTTCCATTTTTGGGCCAATAATATTCTCGCTGCTGTTACTGCATATTGGAAAAGTTTACAATCCATTCTATTTATTTCATTTCCTACTATTCCTAGAAGAAAAGATTCTGGTTTCTTAACAAACGTATATTTCAACATCTTTTTCATCTCATTATATATCATTTCCCAGAAGCCCTTCACCTTCTTACAGTCCCACCACATATGGTAAAATGTTCCGTCTTTTTCTTTACATTTCCAACACTTATTACATGTTTTATACATTTTTGCCAGTTTCACAGGTGTGATGTACCATCTATAAATCATTTTCATAACATTTTCCTTTAACGCAGTACATGCCGTAAATTTTATATTTTCATTCCACAGTTTTATCCAATCGTTAAACTGTATATTATAACCCAAATCTCTGGCCCAGTGTATCATAACCGATTTAACTTCCTCATCTTTTGTATACCATTCTAGCAAGATTTTATACATTTTGGACAAAATTTTATTTTCATTGTTTATTATTTCTATTTGAAATTTAGATTCTTTTTCCTCATAACCTCTTTCTTTTAAGTCCTTTTTAAACATTTCGTTAACCTGATAATAATGCAAACAATCATACACATACTCTTTCACTTCTTCATAGGGTTTCATTTTCCATTTTCCTCCTTCCTTTATAATCAATTCTTTATATGTAACCCAGTTCCCCCTCATATTAACTTTCTTAAGACTCATAACTTCTAACGGAGATAGCCAGTGGGGAGTTCTTGTTTCTAATAAACTTCTATATCTCTCCCATATTTCTATGAGAGATCTTCTAAAGATGTGGTTTTCGAAGCCTTTATGAATCTTTCTTTTCTCACACCATAGATATGCGTGCCAGCCAAATCTGTTATCAAAACCTTCTAAATCCAATAACTCAGTATTTTTTAACTTTATCCATTCTTTCAGCCAGCAGAGACATGAAGCTTCATAATATAATTTCAAGTCTGGCAGGGCGAAGCCTCCTCTTTCTTTCGCATCCGTTAATAACTTATACATAATTCTTGGCTTCTTACCCTGCCAGATATATCTTGAGATTGCTCTTTGCCACTCTTTAAATATCGCTGTCCCCTTAATTATTGGAATTGACTGAAATAAGAATAACATCTTTGGCAGCTGCCGCTCTGGCTGTTCTTTTGTTCTCTCGGTGGCAGAAGAGACATGGACACCTGATGGTTTTTATTACCTACTTTAGGTTAATTATAAATTAACCTAAACTGCATAACGTCAGATTTTTTGTGATTTCTTCAAAAAAAGATTTTCCGCAGCTTACAGTGTCAAGGCCTGATTTCTTAGCCTAAGATAAAAACCCTTTTGTTTTCACCGCTAAACCTTTCAGAGTGGCATTTGCAACCGTTTGGCACCATTTATGAGTGAATTGCATAACGTCAGGATTTTAGTGAAATTCTGACCACGCGGGTTAAGGATTTTTTCAAAAAAAGATTTTCCGCAGCTTACGGAGTCGAGGCCTGATTTCTTAGCATAGGATAAAAACCCTTCTGTTGAGATTAGAATATAGGCATACAGCGATCCTTTCAGAATAACTGGGCCCTGTAGCAGGATCAGTGCTGGATTTACGTATTGTATAAGCTAAGCAAGCTATAGTGTAGGGCCCTACTCTGTTGGGGCCCCCCAAAAATTAAAGGAAAAAAACTTGGATGTACATTTCCAAAATGTAAGATAAAAAAGTAAAATAAAACCTACATACAGCAAGAGCGTTTTATGTTGTGTAGGCTCCTATGATGTAAGTAATGGGCCCCACCTGCTAGCCTGCCCCCCTAAAATATCACTGGTTTGCTCATTTCCATATATAGGGGCCTACAATCTGCTATTTATAATTATTAGTAGTTTGCATCATATACCATATTTTTCGCCCTATAGGACGCACTTTTTCCCCTCCAAAAATGAAGGGGAATGTGTGTGCGTCCTATGGGGCGAATGCAGGCTTTTGCTGAAGCCTGGAGAGCGAGAGGCATCGGTTCGCACTGACCCCTCTCGCTCTCCAGGCTTCAGGAAGCTATCCGCAAGCCTTGTGAGCCCGGGGGAGTTCCCGCCCCAGAGGGCACCCCGTGCTTCGGGCAGATGTCTGCAAGCCTCGCGCGCCCGGTGGGAGGTCCTGCCGGACGCGCAAGGCTTGGGGCGGCAGCCTGTTTTGGGGGCTGGGGTCGGGGGAAGCTCGGGCTTCCCCCGTGCCAGCCCCACACCTGGGGGGGGTGTGAAATTTTTTCCCCTTTCCCCCCCCCAAATAAAGTAGGTGCGTCCTATGGGGCGGTATGTCCTATGGGGCGAAAAATACGGTACTTATGTCAGAACTCCCTGACATAAGTTATATCAGTGAGCCTGAACTGTATGAGAGACAGGAAGAAGAGAGGGAAGAGGGCTTCAAAAGGAGGAGAGACTGAAGCGAAGAGAGATTCCCAGCCCACGGTGGGGGAGGAGAGAGAGGGCAGGGAAGAAACGCAAGAAGGGGAGACGCAGGAAAGGGAGCAGACAGATTCATGGATATCAGAAGCCTGCAGGAACGTAAGAGAAGTGCCGTAAAGGCAACTGGCAGCAGTGATGATGATTGAAATTAGGCCGGCTCTTGCCCGTTGTGTAAATAGCAATAAACAAGGACTACAAAAAGTGCCTGAGGGCACGTTAGCAAACCAGATAAGCTGTTGTGGGCACAACCCACAATCTGTTATACCAGCTGCAATAAAACATTGCTTTAAGTGCAGGGAAGGGACTCCGTGGGTTTCAGGAAAGGCCTCTGTTAGTACGCGTGTGCCTGCAAGCACCACACTGGCAGCACCTGCGATAGGAACCTCTCAGTCATCTTCCAAATTAAAAAGAAATTCTGTTTAAGGTAATGGACAATGGTGTGGTCTAGTGGTTAAGAGCGGTGGACTCGTAATCTGGTGAACTGGGTTCGCTTCCCCGCTCTTCCACATGCAGCTGATGGGTGACCTTGGGCTTGTCACACTTCTCTGAAGTCTCTCAGCCTCACTCACCTTCAGAGTGTTTGTTGTGGGGGAGGAAGGGAAAGGAGATTGTTAGCCGCTTGGAGACTCCTTAAGGGGAGTGAAAGGCGGGATATCAAGTCCAAACTCTTCTTCTTCTGATATCCCAACCTCCATGGGGATCAGATGCTTCCAGGGAGAATAGTAATGGGAGTTCATGCATGCTCACGTGTAAGTGAATGAGGCAAGCCCAAGCTATGTGTTATGGCAACGTTCACATCTGCATGGGAGCAGCTGGATTGTGGAAAGTGAAGGTAGCTGGACAGTCTGTCAAGTGGAAATAAAAAATGGATTGGTAATAACACACATGTCTGTGCATCCAATTACAGATTGCAAAAGAGGTTCACAGGCCATAGGTGACATAGTGAGGGGCTGTGCTATAATTCTTATGATTAGGTTCTACACCCCAGCCCAGAGACACCTGCGTGGAGATCTTGTTCAGAAATTTATTTCCAAGCTACTTTACAGCATAACCTATGATATGTGGCCTAGTAGGGTGCCATTTTAAAGGAGCATGTATGTGCCGTAGCTTCAGCTCTGAGAAGCCAGCTTTTTCCAGGTCGTTCCAGGTTTCTCTGGCCAAGTGGCACCCGTCAAACAGACAGATCCAAGTTGGATCATAGATCTGCTGCCAGAAGAGAGTCCAGCTGGAAGGAGCACCTGCAACGTGTTCTAGGAAGTAGAAAGCGCTACCCTGGAGAAACAGAAATGGATGCATATAAGTTACTTTCGATTCTCCTTTGTATTTCCTCAGATATTCCTTTGCATAATCAGCGCTAATGGTATCAGAGTGCTGTTAATTTTTCATGGCAACAGCCACTGCCTCCCTGAATTCTGTCCTGAATCTTCCCACATTCAGTTGCATTGGATGGCTTTGGGGTTCTAGTCTTATGAGAGGAACACAGACTGCTCAGTTGGTTAGAGCGTGGTGCTGAGAACGGCAAGGTTGCAGGTTCAATCCCTGTATGGGACAGCTGCATATTCCTTCCTTGTAGGGGATTGGACTAGATGATCTCCAGGCTCCCTTCTAATTCTACAATTCTATGATTTCTCTGTCCGCTTTCTCCATTAGGAGCATAACATTACACATCTCCATCATTTGCCTTTTCTCACAGCTGCTACAAGCTGGGTCAACCTCTTCACCAAACTATCTGCTATGGCTGCAAAGTCTCATCCCTGGTCACTTACCACCAATTCAGATTCCTGAGGTTATACGTGATTTTATATTTATTTATCACCCCCAAATCACTCTACTCTTGATTACTTTGAACTTCATTGGTCATTTTAATGCGCATTCGCTCAGTTTGGAGCAGGAGTGCCAACTTGAATAAAATATTGGGGAAGGCCAGGTATGCCCCTCCCCATATAATCAACCACAAGAAGTAGTACACAGAAACACTCCATTTTAATCGTATTGCCCATCACCTATGGGGGTTCCCGGCCCCCTCAAATATTTTATTCGTGGGGTCAATGGGACCTCGGCCCCTAGGAGTTGGTTCTATGGTTTGGAGAAATCCTTTTGGAGCTTTTCACAACCGCTTTTTGCATTAATCAACGTGAAAAATTTGGTATCATTGTCAAACTTGACCCCAGTTCTGTCCTTGGACATGTTAATGATTAACAGGTTGAGTTTAAGGGCTCGTTTCTCAAATAACTGATTGTGAAAACTGTAAATTCAAGGACCGGTACACTGTGAACTGGTATGTAAACTGTTCAAAATTCCGAAGTTTATTTATGTTGGGTGCTTTTAGGATTGTGAACTGGGATAACTAACTAACCTTTTGGGCCCAAGGTTGCAGTCATGTTTAGCAAACCCTTTGAGAGCTGCATGCCAATGCTGAGAAAGACCAAAAGTCAGTATGGATCCATCCAGATGTAAGAGTTGAAAAGGGGAGCTATCCCTTTTCCTGGTTCATCAAATAAATTAACTGATGACCGAGGAGAGGGCAATTTACATCCCCATCAGGCCACTGGGCTTGAAGGAGAGGTTTAAATAACTTCATCTACCCTAGTACCCTGGCAGGTGTTTAACTAAGTAGACCTATTGAAATTACGGTAATCACGGTGACTAAGAGAGGTTCATTCATTTTAATAGGTCTACTCTGCACTTAATGCTACCTTATTTTATTTTTTGTGGTAGCTGTCCAAATTGGTGGTGTTGCAGGGAGAAAGATAATACCTGTTTAGGTCTGGATCATGTCCCTATGGTAAGAGCCCTAGAAATTACGTCCCGGTTTCTGATTTGATCCTGGAATGTCCTGCTTTTCCTCAGTCCCTATTTTCATCAGAGAAATGTTGGAGGATATGGATTTATGTGACCCCCAAGCCAAGGAGATAAGTAACTATACAACCTTTAGAAGACATCTGAAGGCAGCCCTGTATAGGGATTTTTAAAAAATGTTTTATGTTTTATTATGTTTTTATGTATGTTGAAAGCAGCCCAGAGTGGTTGGGGCAACCAATAATACAATTGCTGCTGTTGTTGTTTAATAGGATGTCCCTATTTTCATCAAATAAATGTTGGAGGGTATGGGATCTGTCACTAGAGTCAGTTAACAGCTTATTTTTTTTTTTTTTAAATCATATTTATTAAAATTTCCAAAAATATAAAAATACAAAGAAAAAAAGAAAAAGAAAAAAAGATATTTAAAAACCTTACTTTCATTGCCTACTTTCTGGGACTCCCCCCCTCCCCCCCCCCGACTGTATTCCCCTTTCCTTAATTTAGTTCTACAAGCTCTCACTCCCAATTTGAAGCTTAATTTGTTTAACCCACTATCCAAATTGAATTGTACAAATCTTACCACCGTCCCACATCATTAACAAGAAAAGAAACAGATTTTCCCCAAGATCCACCCCAGTTCCTTCCACGAATTCCCTTTTTTAAACACGTCCAATCAAAATAAAATGACATCGTAAGTTATGTAAAAAATAAAAATAAAAGATATAGAAAAATTCAAAAGATGGTTGCACAGCCTTTGGATTTCAAATCTCCCCCTTCCCCGGTTTGAATTCCCCATATCCATCAGTCTATGCATTATCAGCTTGAAGTCTCAATTCATGACCAAATTTCTCCCGATTCCATCTTGCCGGTTTTCTTTTAATTTATTAATAATATGTAACTTCAAGTGTCCAATCTAACAAAGGCCTTTAATTTCCTTGATCTTTACCACTCCTCCCGTTGTTCTTTCCGTGTCGTAATCAGTCCTTTGTTCTTCTTTTCCTCACTTTCTCAGGTTTCTTGTCCTGTTCAGCTGCTAAAACTTTCTAATTCAGAAATCTGGTATCTCTGCAGAGGTTTGTTATTCAGGAACAAAAACTTACGTCCAGTCCCTTCCTTTCTTCAATAGAAAATTCTATTGTCTCCTTTAATGTAAATACCTCTGTAGACAAAATACTATTTCAGTTTTGCAGCTTTCCCAAAAGATAACAAGTCCTGTGCGAATCCCAGAGTATTTTTCCACTTACGACCGTTCTTGTAATATCCCGAAACCCCTCTAGGGGATTGTAATAACTTTGTATCCTCTAATCCAAAAGTCAACTTGTTGCTTATTTTCCAACAGTTTATATCCATATTGTAGCAAATTGTAGCAAAATTAACCGGCAAAGTCCTCATAACAAAGTCCTCTTTATATTCTCCAACTTTGACAGCCACTTTGACAGCTGTCAAAGTCTCCGTCTCTCTTCACCCGGCTCCACGAATCGCCCCGGTTCCCAGGGGGGGGGTTGCATTTTTCTTCTCACCCTCCACTCTTCTCCTCCAGCACAGTTCTTATAATTTCCCATCGTGAAATTAATGGTTTTTATCAAGAATATACTTCCCTTTGGACCTTGGTTACCCAGTCCTTGTTTTGGAATGCTTACAGTAGGGGGATTGACTTCCTTTTAAATCGCCCCGCTCGTGCCAATCCAAATTTTGAACCCGGTTTCCCAATTACTCACGGGTTGTTGTTAATAGTCCAAATTTTCAATGGAAGAAGTCAGCGCTCTCCGTCGAATGGCATGCGGCTGCGCTCGGCAGGGAAAGCAGAGGACTCAAAGCACCACGCCGCTCCCCGGCACTCCGATCCGAAGCCTTTAAAAGGCTCCTTCACGAGTCGGGAGGGCGCTAATGGTGCAAGCCGAGTCACCCATGTCCACGGACTCCGTGCCCGTGGTTTTTAAGGGTCCCCGCGTCGCCGGCGCGGTAGGACCCAGCCCCTGCCGAGCAGACTCCCTCCGGAACTCGGAGGGAGTCCGCCATTCGGCGATGGCGCCAACCCGGAAGCCTAGAGTCAGTTAACAGCTTAGCCAAGGGTGATTTTGAGTTTGCCCCCGACTTTGCCAGTTTCATTGTTAAGCAGAGATGGAAGATGTCAAGGAAATCTCAGTGGGTGAAACAAATACATTTTACTCACTATGCTTCAAAAGGAAAGAGAGGCTATAATGTGTTTAAAAAGCCATTCCCAAACATGAATCATTCTATTTTTCTTTTTTTTTAAAGGCAGGTGGGGATCGGCACAAAACAAATGCAGAGAGGCTGAAATGTGAGGAGGAGGAATAATAATAATAATAATAATAATAATAATAATAATTTATTTATTTATTTATTTATTCATACATACAGGTTTCCCCAGCCACTCTGGATGGCTCCCAACAGAATATTAAAAACACGATAAAAGATCAAACATTAAAAACGTCCCTAAACAGGGCTGCCTTCAAATGTCTTCTAAAAGTTTATTTCCTTGGCAGGGCGTTCCACAGGGTGGGCGCCACTACCGAGAAGGCCCTCTGTCTGGTTCCCTTCACTGCTCAAAGTGAGCGAACCGCCAGAAGGCCCTCGGAGCTGGATCTCAGTGTCCGGGCAGAACGACGGGAGTGGAGAGGCTGCTTCAGGTATATTGGGCCCTCCTGCCCAACCCTCTTATCAGTTTCAACATCAGAGACAAGCATGTTTAAAAATTTGCTTTGGTCTTTCACAAGTGCGCAACAACAACGGACAAAATAATAAGAGGCATTTCTAGATCTGTGTAAGGTGCTCTCAATAACAGAGTGTGGGATTGTTTCTTCCTAACCGTAGTTATGCAGAAACAACAAGGGATCCGAATCCATCTACCTGCATTTGTGATTCCCCAACGGATATAGAATTGACTAACACCCGAGAATACACCTGCCCCTGCAGTTACTGAATTGTCCTTGTTCTTCCCACAGCGTGAGCTACTTACCGGTCTCAGCACCCATAGGACTTCTTTCATAACTTGCTCGGGGCTCTTCACGGAGCATAGCACCAGTGTTGAAACCACCACATCCACCGATGCAGCTGGTACCTGGTGCAGGTCCTCAGCCGGAGCCACCAAACAGCGTTCCACCTGCACGTGTGGATTTTCAGCCAGGCTCTTGTTGAGAAACTTCTGGAAGTTGGGGTTCGGATCAGTGCATATGATTTTGCATCCCACGGGGTAGAACTGAAAGTTGGAGCCAGTTCCTGCACCAATCTCCAGCAGTGTGAGGGCCCCCGTAGGACTGGCAAAGTCCTTCAGGTTGTGGTTCGAGGACCCGACCCCCGTGATGTGAAATAAATACACAAGGACACGTGATATAAGGTTAATGGGCAAGAAAAGGCCACAACTTTATTGATTACAGCAGTGAAAAGGTATTGGCTTAGGCATTGGATGTCTAAAACAAGGGGGTTATTCACCAGTAGGTGGAGCCTGTTGATGCTAATCCAACTATAGGCTCTCCCCTGATGTCACCGGGGGTCGTGCCATGGCCTCCCGCCAAGCAGGCATCGGACAGAGTACACGACCGCCAGATTCCTTTAACGGAATACCCAAAAATTGAAGGCATAGGCGATGGCCACACCCAGCCCTTCGACACACCACAACACATTATTCCAATGCCTAACCGTCACCCGAGCCAATAAGGCTCGCCGCCAATACCCTCACGGCTGTAACCAATCCCTAATGCTGCTGATGACACTATCTAGCCAAATGTCGTTCCCCTGGTCAGAGGGAAGCACCCCGTCATTCCGGTATAAGGCCCAGTCGCCGATCCGGATTTGGTCATGATAAATGACTCGGCCATTCATGAAGCGCACCCAACGGGCCACTGCCCGATTTACGAGTTTCCTGGTTTTTCAATGGCCATACAGCTCAGCGCACCGCGCCAAAAAATTCTCTTCAGGAAGGAGGACCAGAACACCGTTGTTCTGGGGCACAAGGCAGCAAATGCATCCAAGTCTCTTTTTATATTCCACAACAAGTCCGCACTCCTTCTGTAAGCAAGGTCATTTCCCCTAATTGAATGACAAGGATGCCGGGAGGGCCGAACGTGGCGACTTTTTCCCACAGCAATGGCATAAGCTCTTCCCAGCGCATGCCTCTTCTCGAGAACCAGGAAACTCGAACACCGTGTGGCAGACCAAGATTAGGCGCAAGGCCGCAGCTGACCGCCCATATGCGGGCCCAATGGACTATACTGTGGCCGCAAATCCACACGCTTCTCCTGATCACAGCTGAGGATGAAAGGACAGAAAAGGAGGTAAGTAGGGGTAATATAGCAGAGCGCATTCTAGCGAATATAACTTTTATAAGCATTGGATTTCCACCGGCCCATTTCTTTAATCCTATCCGCTGGCAGACCCAAGAGCACCGCTGTTGTGGTGGCGCCAATCCTGAATGAGTGTGCAGCATAATCCTGGGAAGATAAACCACAGGCATCAATAGCTTTGCGGAGTACCCTTGTGAATTGGTGTCTCAACAAAGGTGACCCATCCTCGTGAACCAGGAGCAGGCCAGAACCAGGCAGTCTGAGGTAAAGGTACCATCTAGTGTCCTTGACCGGGCATGGGCCCCGCTGCGCTGAAGCTGTAAGTTTTACAAGGGAACCCCTACCTGCCTGATCCGTTTTGGATTGATGTATCCACACCGTCGTGCTAGCTTCGGACAACTGCAAGTCCTCCGTGAGGAGGCCGCGCGTTGACCCAGTTGCATTAACCTCGGCTACTACTTCACCGACCCTCAAGGCGCCAAAAGGTGATCGCATATGCAGCGGGGGGGAAAAAGGCGGGCCTCAAACTTGGTCCAGCAGATTGACCTAAACTTTGTGCATATCTGAGAGAGCAGCCCGTAAGGAATTGGCTTAGCATATGCTGCGGAAAAGAGGCGGGCCTCAAACTTGGTCCAACAGATCGACTTAAGCTTTATGCGTATTTGAGAGAGCAGCCTGTAAGAAAATGGCTTATGGCCCTCGGCTCTAGGGGTTGCAGCTTACCCCAACCTTCAATAGCTCTGCGGATCAGGAAGTCACTGCACGGGTCGGAGGAAAACATGGCTTTACAAAGAAGCTGATGGCGGCTACGTGTATCTTTAACGTTTTGGAGGCCCGGCCTAAAGGAGGCTATAACGTATGCCGCAGAGAACACCCGGGCCTCGAACTTGGACCAGCAAATTGACCTAAGTTTCATACGGATTTGGGACAGCAGCTTGTAAGAAATAGGCTTGCAGCCTTTGTTACTTGGAGGCTGCAGTCAACTGCAACCTTCAATTGCCCTGCGGACCATAAAGTCACAGCACGAATCGGTGGAAAAACATGGGTCTACTAAAGAATGTGATAGCGGCTATGTGTATCCTCAAAGTTTTCGAGGCTCAACCTAGGCCATGAAGGTGTGTTAAGTATTGCAGAACGTTTTCTGTGGAGGGGGTAACATTGGTGGAAAGGGAGGATACTTTGGACCTGAACCCCATGAAATCACACCAGACCTTCCTATATGATCTAAGCGTAGAGGGTGCGACAGATGCTAATACTCCCTTAATCACTTCACGTCTCCAAGGTTCCACAGGTGCTCCGGAACGGGTTCTGGCAGTGGCTGAGCCCTGGGAGCTAATGCTCGGAAGCGAGGCACTGGAGGACGAATGATTGGAGTAGGCGCGACACCCTCTCGGAACGCGATGACTGTTTAGCCAGTATGTTGACCACTGCTTGGTTATGAGTTCTGAAGCACACCCGGCGATTCTGGAACTCCTCAGTCCAAATGTGAACAGCCACAACTAAGGGGGGAAAAAACTCCAGAAAAGTGAGATCCCACGTGATAGCCTCGCCTTGCTCCTCTGCTGGCCATTGTTGAGCACACCAGCATCCCCTAAAGAATAAACTGAAGCCCAAGGACCCAGCGGCATCAGTGAACCTGGAAATCTGAGGACAGGTTGAGGATTTCCTGCCATAAGGAGACTCCATTGTAGCGTTCCAGAAACGTGATCCAGATCTCAAGGTCTGTCTTAACCGATTTTGGGAGTCTTACCCTGTGGTGCGGTTGGTTGGTTGGTTGGTTTGTTTTTGTTATTTTATTTTATTTTTAAGGTTAGGTATGCACATAGGCCCCAAGACTCATTTTGTATCATGACTTTTAAACTTCTGATTTGTTTCTGAGTCACTTGGTGCTCTCTGTGCTGAATCTGAAGGGGGCTGGCACACAGACTAACTGAATGTGGATGTTCATTATGCACTGTATCATAGTATAGTACAGTGATTATAAAAATATCTGCTTGAGTATACGTTTTCATCATGTGTAAAACTCTTAAGGAATAAACAAATAGTTCTATATTGTGATCAAGTAACTCCTAGAACAAAATTGTAAGTTTTAGCTTCAGAAAACCAGTTGCTTCTAGCCAACATCCTGTTGCCAATGTAGCTAAAATTTTAGCACTTTTGATTGTTAGTTGATAACACGATTGTTAGTATGACAAGAGATTGGTGGGATGCTCTCCTACAGATTTCCAAAACTGTTGTACTACAGACACAGCCAGGACATTCCAGAACACTTATATCTGGTACTGTAAATGTCAGGTTTCAGTTTCACTCTAGCTAGAAAGAACTGCTACATATGCAACATGTTCTAGAAGATTGCCAAAGGTGAGCTCTTGGCCAAAGCGTTATCCACTTCAGTGAAGTGTTATTTCTCACCAAACTAGCAATTTGTTTACTAACTATACATGTTCCCTAATATAGTTAAAGCATTGAAATTATGCGATTTCGACTGTTGGTCTTAAAGGCTTACTAGATTATAGGACTAAGAACTAAATCATTATTGTACTTCTTTGCAATTTTGCCCACAGCTGCCCTGCTCATTGGGAGAACAGGAAATGGATCTGGAACACTTCAAAGCAGTACCATTGCTCCCAGAGGACGGAGAAGAATGAGGCCGAGGAGAGGCTGGCACCACCGCAAAAGGCTGCTGAACACGCCCCCTCGAAGGCACCTGGTTGGATGCCTGCCAAGGGGGCGTGGGCGCCAGCCAGGTGAGAGGAGGAGGCAGGGGGCTAATGCCCCCTGCTAGGGGCGGTGCTCGGGCTCCCGCCCACAACCACTCCCCTCTCTTCCAGGGAGGAGAGTCTTTGCTGAACATTTCCCTTTTCTTGTCGGACATCTGCTTATTATAACTGATTGTCATCACAGACATGAAGTAGGGGAATAACTTCTTGCAAAGGGGTTCCCAGATACCCAGATACCACAGCAAGTAAACAGGGAAGGCTAATATCTGGACGCATAACCTGAGCAGGACAACTAGGCATGTTGCTTCCATGTTAGCAGGAGGGCAGAAAACAGCAAAGGCAGAGGAGAAGAGAAAGTCAGTCGCAGAGTCTCGATGGTGGGGCTTGTTATTATGTGTTGCTTCCAGTCCTCAAAGATCTCAAAGGGTGGTGATACGGAAGGGGGGGGCAGGTCTTCTTCTTCACCTTCTTCGCTACAATATATCCATTTATTTCCAATTGCCAATGTCAAAAGGGACTAAAATCTATAAAATTCATAGAAAATCAACTTGCCAATTTGCTCAATTTCTCTAGGACTCCATGACACCTCCCTGCCCTCCATAATCCCTCAAGCAAGGTGTCAAGACCCTAATCCTGTCAAATCGCTCTGCCAAGCCCTTCCTCCGGGCGATGCCAGGTGACAGACTATGCATACATGGACCATTGTCTTCTCAGGATGTGCTTATCTGCGCATATCTCCAGCTCTGCATATTCCCCCCTCCCTCCTCCATATGTTAATCCGGTGTAACCCAACCTCTTCCTAATATATTCGTGATGTAATCTGTGTAACCCAACCTCTTCTTAATGTATTCATGATGTAACTGGGATGTATTTTGCACTGTATTCTGGGACATGGAGGGAAATTTCAAAGTTAATGTCACCCCTTTCTCGCTGTTCAATCTCGTCTTGAACCTGTTGCGCAATAAACTTGGATCTCCTGGAACTTGCTCCCGTCTCCGGCTGAGCTCATTTTCTCCCGCAGGGACCCGCGGACTCAGTCCGACGAGCTGGGTGGCAGAGTAACCCCGCACCCAGATTTTACCGTAACAGTGGAAAGAAATATTGTTAATAAACTCCACACACACACACACACAAACTCGCCAATAACATGGTTTGTGCATGCACTTGTAATCTTGCCCGTCAGAGGAACGTAAAACTGTATTTGCTGTCTTTAAGAGGGAAATAATCTCATTTAGAGGGTATTCTTACACTTTATTGCAGCAGTGTACTGTGCGGTCCTGTAGTAACCCAAAGTGAATGTTGGTTTAAATTTGTTACAAGCTTTTCCTAAATATAAGGAGAAACCTTTTCCCATGGCAGAACTCTTTCACACCAAAACTGCGCTGAAAAATGTTGGGGTGGAAGGATTGGCTACCCCTGAGTTGAAACTACGGTAGTCTTCAGTAATATATTTGCTTCCCTTGTGGGTTTGTTTTTTTGTCTCAAGCAGCTGCAGACTTGAGCAGCAGTCCTGCCCTGCAAATGCTTTACTTTTATTCGCTCTGGCTGTTCAATATATATATATATAATTAAATTTTCCAACATACATTTATAATATCCTATCTAAATTTTATCACATATTTTCTCTTTTTGACTTCCTTCAATCTCTCTGACAATCATCCATTATTCAAATGTTTAAATACACATTTCCTAATTTTATATTGCATTTTATAAACCTTCACACCCTTAGTTTTCATCAATACAATAGTCCTCTATCATTTACAGAACTTCTTGAAATCCCACTAGCGTTATTTGCTCATCACATACACATTTCAGATAGTCTGAAAATTTTCCCCAGTCTTCAATGAACTTTTGATCTCGTATATATCTGATCTTTCCTGTTGGTTTGTCTAGTTCAGCATAGTTTCATTCTCCATTCTTCGACCGTCGGCAGTTGTTCCTGTTTCCATTTTTGGGCCAATAATATTCTCGCTGCTGTTACTGCATATTGGAAAAGTTTACAATCCATTCTATTTATTTCATTTCCTACTATTCCTAGAAGAAAAGCCTCTGGTTTCTTAACAAACGTATATTTCAACATCTTTTTCATCTCATTATAGATCATTTCCCAGAAGCCCTTCACCTTCTTACAGTCCCACCACATATGGTAAAATGTTCCGTCTTTTTCTTTACATTTCCAACACTTATTACATGTTTTATACATTTTTGCCAGTTTCACAGGTGTGATGTACCATCTATAAATCATTTTCATAACATTTTCCTTTAATGCAGTACATGCCGTAAATTTTATATTTTCATTCCACAGTTTTATCCAATCGTTAAACTGTATGTTATAACCCAAATCTCTGGCCCAGTGTATCATAACCGATTTAACTTCCTCATCTTTTGTATACCATTCTAGCAAGATTTTATACATTTTGGACAAAATTTTATTTTCATTGTTTATTATTTCTATTTGAAATTTAGATTCTTTTCCTCATAACCTCTTTCTTTTAAGTCCTTTTTAAACATTTCGTTAACCTGATAATAATGCAAACAATCATACACATACTCTTTCACTTCTTCATAGGGTTTCATTTTCCATTTTCCTCCTTCCTTTATAATCAATTCTTTATATGTAACCCAGTTCCCCCTCATATTAACTTTCTTAAGACTCATAACTTCTAACGGAGATAGCCAGTGGGGAGTTCTTGTTTCTAATAAACTTCTATATCTCTCCCATATTTCTATGAGAGATCTTCTAAAGATGTGGTTTTCAAGCCTTTATGAATCTTTCTTTTCTCACACCATAGATATGCGTGCCAGCCAAATCTGTTATCAAAACCTTCTAAATCCAATAACTCAGTATTTTTTAACTTTATCCATTCTTTCAGCCAGCAGAGACATGAAGCTTCATAATATAATTTCAAGTCTGGCAGGGCGAAGCCTCCTCTTTCTTTCGCATCCGTTAATAACTTATACATAATTCTTGGCTTCTTACCCTGCCAGATATATCTTGAAATTGCTCTTTGCCACTCTTTAAACTCGCTGTCCCCTAATTATTGGAATTGTCTGAAATAAGAATAACATCTTGGCAGCTGCCGCTCTGGCTGTTCTTTTGTTCTCTCGGTGGCAGAAGAGACATGGACACCTGATGGTTTTATTACCTACTTTAGGTTAATTATAAATTAACCTAAACTGCATAACGTCAGATTTTTGTGATTTTTCAAAAAAAGATTTTGCGCAGCTTAAAGCGTCAAGGCCTGATTTCTTAGCCTAGGATAAAAACCCTTTTGTTTTCACCACCAAACCTTTCAGGGTGGCGTTTGCAACAGTTTGGCACCATTTATGAGTGAATTGGATGATGTCAGAATTTTAGTGAAATTCTGACCCCGCAGGTTAAGGATTTTTTTTCAAAAAAAAAAAGGTTTTCCGCAGCTTACGGAGTCAAGGCCTAATTTCTTAGCCTAGGATAAAAACCCTTCTGTTGAGATTAGAATATAGGCATACAGCGATCCTTTCAGAATAAGTGGGCCCTGTAGCAGGATCAGTGCTGGATTTACGTACTGTATAAGCTAAGCAAGCTATAGTGTAGGGCCCCACTCTGTTGGGGCCCCCCAAAAATTAAAGGAAAAAAACTTGGATGTACATTTCCAAAATGTAAGATAAAAAAGTAAAATAAAACCTACATACAGCAAGAGTGTTTTATGTTGTGTAGGCTCCTATGATGTAAGTAATGGGCCCCACCTGCTAGCCTGCCCCCTAAAATATCACTGGTTTGCTCATTTCCATATATAGGGGCCTACAATCTGCTATTTATAATTATTAGTAGTTTGCATCATATACCGTATTTTTCGCCCTATAGGACGCACTTTTTCCCCTCCAAAAATGAAGGGGAAATGTGTGTGCGTCCTATGGGGCGAATGCAGGCTTTTGCTGAAGCCTGGAGAGCGAGAGGCATCGGTGCGCACTGACCCCTCTCGCTCTCCAGGCTTCAGGAAGCTATCCGCAAGCCTTGCGAGCCCGGGGGAGTTCCCGCCCCGGAGGGCACCCCGTGCTTCGGGCAGATGTCTGCAAGCCTCGCGCGCCCGGTGGGAGGTCCTGCTGGGCGCTCAAGGCTTGGGGCGGCAGCCTGTTCTGGGGGCTGGGGTCAGGAAGCTCGGGCTTCCCGTGCCAGCCCACGCCTGGGGGAAATAATTTTTCCCTTTATTCCCCCAAATAATGTAGGTGCGTCCTATGGGACGGTATGTCCTATGGGGCGAAAAATACGGTACTTATGTCAGAACTCCCTGACATAAGTTATATCAGTGAGCCTGAACTGTATGAGAGACAGGAAGAAGAGAGGGAAGAGGGCTTCAAAAGGAGGAGAGACTGAAGCGAAGAGAGATTCCCAGCCCACGGTGGGGGAGGAGAGAGAGGGCAGGGAAGAAACGCAAGAAGGGGAGACGCAGGAAAGGGAGCAGACAGATTCATGGATATCAGAAGCCTGCAGGAACGTAAGAGAAGTGCCGTAAAGGCAACTGGCAGCAGTGATGATGATTGAAATTAGGCTGGCTCTTGCCCGTTGTGTAAATAGCAATAAACAAGGACTACAAAAAGTGCCTGAGGGCACGTTAGCAAACCAGAGAAGCTGTTGTGGGCACAACCCACAATCTGTTATACCGGCTGCAATAAAACATTGCTTTAAGTGCAGGGAAGGGACTCCGTGGGTTTCAGGAAAGGCCTCTGTTAGTACGCGTGTGCCTGCAAGCACCACACTGGCAGCACCTGCGATAGGAACCTCTCAGTCATCTTCCAAATTAAAAAGAAATTCTGTTTAAGGTAATGGACAATGGTGTGGTGTAGTGGTTAAGAGCGGTGGACTCGTAATCTGGTGAACTGGGTTCGCTTCTCGCTCTTCCACATGCAGCTGATGGGTGACCTTGGGCTTGTCACACTTCTCTGAAGTCTCTCAGCCTCACTCACCTTACAGAGTGTTTGTTGTGGGGAGGAAGGGAAAGGAGATTGTTAGCCGCTTGGAGACTCCTTAAGGGGAGTGAAAGGCGGGATATCAAGTCCAAACTCTTCTTCTTCTGATATCCCAACCTCCATGGGGATCAGATGCTTCCAGGGAGAATAGTAATGGGAGTTCATGCATGCTCACGTGTAAGTGAATGAGGCAAGCCCAAGCTATGTGTTATGACAACGTTCACATCTGCATGGGAGAAGCTGGATTGTGGAAAGTGAAGGTAGCTGGACAGTCTGTCAAGTGGAAGTAAAAAATGGATTGGCGATAACATACATGTGTGTGCATCCAATTACAGATTGCGCAAGAGGTTCACAGGCCATAGGTGACATAGTGATGGGCTGTGCTATAATTCTTATGATTAGGTTCTACACCCCAGCCCAGAGACACCTGCGTGGAGATTTTGTTCAGAAATTTATTTCCAAGCTACTTTACAGCATAACCTATGATATGCGGCCTAGTAGGGTGCCATTTTAAAGGAGCATGTATGTGCCGTAGCTTCAGCTCTGAGAAGCCAGCTTTTTCCAGGTCGTTCCAGGTTTCTCTGGCCAAGTGGCACCCGTCAAACAGACAGATCCAAGTTGGATCATAGATCTGCTGCCAGAAGAGAGTCCAGCTGGAAGGAGCACCTGCAACGTGTTCTAGGAAGTAGAAAGCGCCACCCTGGAGAAACAGAAATGGATGCATATACGTTACTTTCTATTCTCCTTTGCAGTGCCACAGATATTCCTTTGCATAATCAGCGCTAATGGTATCAGAGTGCTGTTAATTTTTCATGGCAACAGCCACTGCCTCCCTGAATTCTGTCCTGAATCTTCCCACATTCAGTTGCATTGGATGGCTTTGGGGTTCTAGTCTTATGAGAGGAACACAGACTGCTCAGTTGGTTAGAGCGTGGTGCTGAGAACGGCAAGGTTGCAGGTTTGATCCCTGTATGGGACAGCTGCATATTCCTTCCTTGTAGGGGATTGGACTAGATGATCTCCAGGCTCCCTTCTAATTCTACAATTCTATGATTTCTCTGTCTGCTTTCTCCATTCCGAGCATGACATTACACATCTCCATATTTGCCTTTTCTCACAGCTGCTACAAGCTGGGTCAACCTCTTCACCAAACTATCTGCTATGGCTGCAAAGTCTCATCCCTGGTCACTTACCACCAATTCAGATTCCTGAGGTTATACGTGATTTTATATTTATTTATCACCCCCAAAGCACTCTACACTTGATTACTTTGAACTTCATTGGCCATTTTAATGCCCATTCGCTCAGTTTGGAGCAGGAGTGCCAACTTGAATAAAATATTGCGGAAGGCCAGGTATGCCCCTCCCCATATAATCAACCACAAGAAGTAGTACACTGAAACACTCCATTTTAATCGTATTGCCCATCACCTATGGGGTTCCCGGCCCCTCAAATATTTTATTCGTGGGGTCAATGGGACCTCGGCCCCTAGGAGTTGGTTCTATGGTTTGGAGAAATCCTTTTGGAGCTTTTCACAACCACTTTTGCATTAATCAACGTGAAAATTTGGTATCATTGTCAAACTTGACCCCAGTTCTGTCCTTGGACATGTTAATGATTAACAGGTTGAGTTTAAGGGCTCGTTTCTCAAATAACTGATTGTGAAAACTGTAAATTCAAGGACCGGTACACTGTGAACTGGTATGTAAACTGTTCAAAATTCCGAAGTTTATTTATGTTGGGTGCTTTTAGGATTGTGAACTGGGATAACTAACTAACCTTTTGGGCCCAAGGTTGCAGTCATGCTTAGCAAACCCTTTGAGAGTTGCATGCCAATGCTGAGAAAGACCAAAAGTCAGTATGGATCCATCCAGATGTAAGAGTTGAAAAGGGAGCTATCCTTTTCCTGGCTCATCAAATGAACTATCTGATGACCGAGGAGAGGGCAATTTACATCCAATTTGCAGCTGTCCAAATTGGCGGTGGTGCAGGGAGAAAGATAATAGCTGTTTGGGCTTGATCATGTCCCTAGCCTAAGAATTTACCACTGCTAGTTTAAAATATATTGCTCTTGAGGAATCAGAATGACTCATGGTGGAATATATATACAGTGGTACCTTGGGTTACAAACACCTCGGGTTACAAACACTTCAGGTTACAGATTCCACTAACCCGGAAGTAGTACCTCGGGTTAAGAGCTTTGCCCCAGGATGAGAACAGAAATCACGTGGCGGCACGGCGCGGCGGCAGCAGGAGGCTCCATTAGCTAAAGTGGTACCTCAGGTTAAGAACGGTTTCAGGTTAAGAACGGACCTCCGGAATGAATTAAGTTCGTAACCAGAGGTACCACTGTACAGTATATGGAAATTTTATATATATATATATATATATATATATATATACACACCGTATATATATAATCTGAAAGCACTTTCATTCTTTCTTAAAAATCAGTTTCCCACAAATATATCATTTCCATCACTTGATAAAATTCTGCTTTGCAAGCTGGAACATTTTGAAAACCAAAATTTACATTTTTTTTCAGCAACAGAAACTACAGCTCCCACCAAAACAAAAAAACACAAAAAACCCTAAAAGGGGTGGGAAGACAAAAAGATTTTCACATGTTTGCAGGAAGCAATTGGGATTTGTTTAAATGCTGTTTGTCACCAAAGCCAATTGACAGTTATTATCATATATCAGAATTCAAATTCTTTTCCTTTCAGATCAGTTGCGGTTTGCTGACTCAAAGTGAAAATCCTGATATCCCCACCTCATGAACTCTTACATCATCATCAGACCTTGCATCAAAGAGTGAATCGGAATATTCCATGAAGGATTTGTCCAGAGTTTGTTGTAAAGGCCATAGGGATGTAGCAATTTCAACACTCACAACTTTCTGTGTAACTCTGTTTCCTAATCTGTGCTGCTGCGGGAGGTTTAGGATAAGGCAGACATGACCCTCTGCCAGTAGATGAAGCATTTAAAAACTTCCCTGTACAGGGCTGCCATCAGATGTCTTCTAAAACTTATATAGTTACTTATCCCTTTGATTCAGGGATTGCAGATCTCCATACACTCCAACATTTCTCCAGTGAAAATAGGGATATCCTAAGGAAAAGCGGGACATTCCTGAATCAAATAAAAAACAAGCACAGCTTCTGTAAATGAAGGACTGTCCCTGGAAAATAGGAGTGTCTGAGTGTCTGGAGAGCACTGTACAATTCTCTGGGCTTTCACATATTTTACAATGTTTTACAATGAGGTCAGTTTTAAAAAAGAAGTTCAGCCTTGGCTTTCCTCTTTCTGTCTATTCATCCATATCTGAGAAACGATAGTTAAAGAGAAGTCTTAAGGGTAACATCAAATACTAACGGAAAATTAATTGACTATTTATTTATGTGTTGGAACAGTCTGCGCAGTAAAACCTCTCCAACTTCTTTTAAAATAGCCTTGGTCGCAAATGCCCTTCTGTAGCTTGAATCTAGGCTGTTGCGAAAGGGGACTTGAAGTTAAGCATGTTCTTATGCACATTCTTGCACAATCCAATTGCTCTTTAGATCTCCTCGTTTGAAAGTAGTTAAGATGTTACGGTTTTGTTATGCTTATAGCATTCTCCTTTAAAACTATGGCTATCTGCTGCTGTCAAATACATTCAGGAGAATAATAATAATAATAAATTTATCCGCCCAACAGGGTATTAAAAACACAATAAAACATCAAACATTAAAAACTTCCCTAAACAGCCTTCAGATGTCTTCTAAAAAGTCATATAGTTGTTTGTTTCCTTGACATCTGATGGCAGGGCATTCCACAGGGTGGGTGCCACTACCGAGAAGGCCCTCTGCCTGGTACCCTGTAATCTCACTTCTCGCAGTGAGGGAACCGCCAGAAGGCCCTCGGCACTGGACCTCATTGTCTGGGCTGAATGAGTGGGATGGAGATGCTGCTTCAGGTATACTGGGCCTTCCTGCCCAACCATCTACCAGTTGGAGACAAGGACATTTAGAAATTTGCTTTGGTCTTTCACAAGTGCACAACAACAACAGACAAAATAATAAGAGGCATGTCTAGATCTGTCTAAGGTGCCCTCAATAACACAGAGTGTGGGATTGTTTCTTCCTAACTGTAGTTAGGGAGAAAAGCAAGGGAGTGATTCCAACGTTTGCAACTTGTGAGAATGTAAATAGCTCAGAAGCAAATTGGTTTACACAGAAACAACAAGGGATCCGAATCCATCTTTCTGCATATGTGATTCCCCAACGAATATAGAATTGACTAACACCCGAGAATACACATGCCCCTGCAGTTACTGAATTGTCCTTGTTCTTCCCATGGCGTGAGCTACTTACCGGTCTCAGCACACGCAGGACTTCTTTCATAACTTGCTCGGGGTTCTTCACGGAGCATAGCACCAGCGTTGAAACCACCACATCCACCGATGCAGCTGGTACCTGGTGGAGGTCCTCAGCCGGAGCCACCAAACAGCGTTCCACCTGCACGTGTGGATTTTCAGCCAGGCTCTTGTCAAGAAACTTCTGGAAGTTGGGGTTCGGATCAGTGCATATGATTTTGCATCCCATGGGGTAGAACTGAAAGTTGGAGCCAGTTCCTGCACCAATCTCCAACAGTGTGAGGGCCCCGGTGGGACTGGCAAAGTCCTTCAGGTTGCTGAACATTTCCTTTGTCTTGTCAGACATGTGCTTATTATAACAGATGGTCACCACAGCCATGAAGTAGGGGAATAACTTCTTGCAAAGGGGTTCCCAGATACCCAGATACCATAGCAAGTAAGCAGGGAAGGCTAATATCTGGACGCAGAACCTGAGCAGGACAACTAGGCATGTTGCTTCCATGTTAGCAGGAGAGCAGAAAACAGCAAAGTCAGAGAAGAGGAAGTCAGTCGCAGAGTCTCGAGGGTGGGGCTTGTTTTTATCTGCAGCTTCCAGTCCTAAATAACTAGCCAGTTAAAACGAAGCCACCAAGTTCCAGGAATAGCTTGATATATGTTAAAGGTACAGTACAGCTGCCAGAGCCCTTGGCAGTGAGCACACTGGCTGCGAGATCTCAAAGGGTGGAGAGGAATATTGTTCATAAACTAAACACACACACACACACTCACCAATAACGTTGTGTGTGCACGCACTCGTAATCTTTCCCCTGTCAGAGGGAATTTAAAAACTGTATTTGCTGTCTTTAAGAGGGAAATAATCTCATTTAGGGGGTATTCTAACACTTTATTGTGTACTCCGCGGTCCTAAGTGCCGGATTTACATATAAGCTAAATAAGTTATAGCTTAGGGCCCCACTGTCTTGGAGCCCCTCCCCAATTTGAAGGAAACAAAACTTGTACATTTCCAAAATACAAGATAAAAAACAAATAAAACAAAACATACATACACCAACACTGTTTTGTGTTGTGTAGGCTCCTATTTCGTTATGCACAAATGGCTTTAGATACTTATTAGGTCCATAAATTACCATATAGCATATATTCAACACAAAAAAACAGCGACAATTTGTTGTTGACAAAGGACAGCTGGACATATAAAGGGCCCCATTACCTTCAGCAGCTTAGAGCCTCATCAAAGCGAAATCCGACCCTGGCGGTCCTGTAGTAACCCAATGCGAATGTTGGTTTAAATTTGTTACAAGCTTTTCCTAAATATAAGGGGAAACCTTTTTCCCATGGCAGAACTCTTTCACACCAAAACTGCGCTGAAAAATGTTGGGGTGGAAGGATTGGCTCCCTCTGAGTTAAAACTACAGTACTCTTCAGTGATATGTTTGCTTCCCTTGTGGGTTTGGTTTTTTGTCTCAAGCAGCTGCAGACTTGAGCAGCAGAGTCCTGCCCTGCAAATGCTTTAGTTTTATTCGCTCTTGCTGTTCTTTTGGTCTCTCTGTGGCAGAAGAGACATGGACACCTGATGGTTTTTATTACCTACTTTAGGTTAATTATAAATTAACCTAAATTGCATAACGTCAGATCTGACGTTATGCAATTCACTCAAAAATGGTGCCAAACTGTTGCAAATTCTCCCCTTTCGATCCTTCGTTTGCATAACTATCTACAGTATCCCCCTGCTGGCCCAGGGTGATAACTTCAGTACATAACAGAAAGGTTGGGTGGTGAAAACAGAAGGGTTTTTATCCTAGGCTAGGAAATCAGGCCTCAACGCTTTAAGCTGTGGAAAATCTTTTTTTTTTTTTTTTTTAAATACTTAACCCAGGGGGTCAGGATTTCACTAAAATTCTGACGTTATGCAATTCACTCATAAATGGTGCCAAACTGTTGCAAATGCTCCCCTGAAGGGTTTGGCAGTGAAAACAGAAGGGTTTTTATCCTAGGCTCAGAAATAAGGCCTTGACGCTTTAAGCTGTGGAAAATTCTTTTTTGAAAAAATCCCTAACCCGCGGGGTCAGAATTTTAGTGAAATTTTGACATTCTGCAATTCACTCAAATTCACCCGAATGTAGTGAAATTTAGTGAAATTAGTGAAATTTTGACCCCGTGGATTAAAGATTTTTTCAAAAAAAGTTTTTCCGCAGCTTACGGCGTCGAGGCCTGATTTCCTAGCCTAGGATAAAAACCCTTCTGTTTTCACTGCCCAACCTTTCTGTTATGTACTGAAGTTCTCACCCTGGGCCAGCAGGGGGATACTGTAGATAGTTATGCAAATGAAGGATCGAAAGTGACGTTCAGTGATTGGATAGTTTTAGGAAGTTGCCTCAGTAACGTTGTACTGGAACTCCATATAAGCAGGCTGACTGAGCCCTTCAGCTCATTTCTGTTGTGGCCCTTGAATAAACAAGAGCTGTTTGAAGGATCGCTGTGTCGTCTGATATGTTCACCCACAACTTAACACTGGCGACGAGGATGGGATTGATGGACATCAGAGCACAGCCAGATGCGGCCACCCTCTGAACTGAGCTAAATCACTGAGCTGAATCACTGAGCGAAATCACTGAACAGAACCAATTCAGAGCTGACTGTTCTGGCTAGAGCACGGTGTTCCATCCATCGCCCTCCACGCCGGCATCGGAATCATGGCTTCACTTGCGCCTCTACCGCCGTTCGTGCCAGCCTCTGAATCATGGGACTCCTACCTCACTCGGTTCGACTGCTACCTCCAAGCCAACGAGCTGACAGAAGTATCAAAGGAGCAGAAGTGGGGCCTATTCCTCAGCCTCTGTGGGCCTGAGGTGTTTGAGACGGCCCGAGCATTGCTTGCACCTGAAGCAGTCCAGGCAGCACCGTGGGACACGATTCAAGAGAAGCTCTGCAACCACTACGTGCCAAAGCCATCCAAGATTGCTGCCCGCCATGCGTTTTACCACCGGAACCAGGCAGAGGGGGAGTCAATTAACAACTACACTACTGCCCTCCAACAGGCTGCAATGTACTGCGAGTTCCGAGACTTAGATGATGCCCTGATGGATCAAATCATCTGCGGGGTCTGGGACATCCGTCTGCAACGGCGTCTCCTCGCCAAGCCAGACCTCAGGCTGCAGAAAGCCATTGAGGAAGCCGTGGCCTCGGAAGCTACCAAATGCTCCGCCCAGGAGATCCGCAAGGCCAGCAGCCCACATCTTGCTAGGAAGCCAGTTCCAGTGCATCATGAAGAGGCCAGCAGTGATGAGGCATCCTCCAGTGAAGACGATGACGTGCATCAGACAAAGCGGGAGTGCAGAAAGTTCCAAAAGAAGTCCAAGGGCCAACCGGAATGTGGCGGCTGCGGAGGCAACCATTCCCGTGCCAAGTGTCGATTCAGATATGCCATCTGTCGGAAGTGTTCCAGAAGGGGCCACATCGCTAAGGTCTGCCGATCGGCTCCGTCTGTCAACCCCCTTCACTGACTCGCAAGTCCAAGTCTTCACTCCAGTCCGCCATGGAAAGCTGTTTCGCTCTCACCAACTGCCACTGCCCGTCTGGAACCACGATTGGCCAAATCGACTCGCCTACGCGACGCAAGCTGAACGTCACTGTGATCATTGAAGGAGCTCCATGTGACATGGAGATCGACACCGGGTCTGCCCTGTCCATCGTGTCTTGGAGCACCATCAAAAGACTGGTACCGAGAGTGTCTAAAAGGCAACTCGACTCTCACCGCGTACACCTGAGAGACTACCAGGGAAACGACATTCCCGTGGTAGGTGTTGGCCGGTTCCAGATCGCCTTCAAGGATTTTTCGGGCCTGCTCCGACTGGTGGTGGTTGAAGGTCAGCGGCCAAGCCTCCTAGGGCTAGACTGGTTTGATGCCCTCGGCCTGGAAGTCACCGGCATCAACAGCATCTCTAACACAGAGACTGAGGGTCTGGTCAAAGACTTTGCTGAGGTTTTTGACAGCACTTTGGGGCAATATACAGGTACGCCCATCTCCTTTAGCTTTGATCCACAAGTCGCCCCCATCAAGCTATAGCCACACCGGGTTCCCTTTGCTCTCAAGGCTAAGGTGGACAAACAACTGGACAAGCTGATCACCCAAGGAGTTTTGGAGCCGGTTGACCACACCAAGTGGGAAACCCCATTGTCACGCCTGTCAAACCAGACGGGTCGGTGAGATCTGCGCTGACTACAAGTGCACGATCAACAAGGCACTTCAGCAGCACGCTTATCCGGTTCCTGTTGTTCAACACCTGCTGCATTCCCTGGGTGAGGGTAAGGTCTTCGCTAAGCTGGACCTTGCCCAAGCCTATCAACACCTGCCCATCGATGATGCCACTGCTGAAGCCCAGACGATTGTCACCCACCGAGGGCATTCCGTTGCCGCCGTTTGCAATTTGGGGTGAGTGTGGCTCCTGGCATCTTCCAAAGCCTTATGGAGCGTCTCCTGCAAGGGCTTCCGGGCGTGGTACCATATTTTGATGACGTCTTGGTGTCTGCAGACTCACACACCAGCAGCTGTTCGAGCGCTTCCGCACCTTGCTGACCAGGTTCCAGGAGGCCGGGCTCAATGTAAAGAGAGAGAAGTGCCAGATCGCGGTTCCACAGGTGGAGTTCCAACGCTTAAAGCGTTGAGGCCTGATTTCTTACTCCAGGATAAGAACCCTTCTGTTTTCACCACCAAACCTTTCAGGGGAGAATCTGCAATAATTTGGAACCATTTCTGAGTGAATAGGATGATGTCAGAATTTTAGTGAAATTCTGAACCCGCTTTCCGCAGCTTAAGGCATCGAGGCTTGATTTATTAGCCTAGCAAAAAAACCTTTCTGTATCCACCGCCAAACCTTTCAGGGCAGCATTTGCAAGAGTTTGGCACCATTTTTGAATGAATCACAGAAAGTCAGATTTTTTGAAAAATTGTGGGCCCGTGGGTTAGGGTTTTTTTTTCAAAAAAAGATTTCACACAGATTTCCCACTGTTTTTGGTGGAAACAGAAGGGTTTCTATAATCGGAAAAAGAATTAGCCCTCGATGTCTGAACTTGCGGAATATTGTTTTTTTAAAAAATCCCTAAGCCGCGCGAACACAATTTCAGCAAAAATCTGACGTTCTGCAATTCACTCAAAAATGGTGCCACACTGTTGCAAATGCTTCCCTGAAAGGTTTTCTGGTAGAAACAGATGGGTTTCTGTCATCGGAAAAAGAATTAACCCTTGACGTCTGAACTTGCGGAAAAACTTTTTAAAAAAAAAATCCCTAAGCCGCGCGGTCACAATTTCAGCAAAAATCTGACTTTCTGCAATTCACTCAAAAATGGTGCCAAACTGTTGCAAACGCTCCCCTGAAATGTTTTCCGGTGGGAACAGAAGGGTTTCTATCATCGGAAAAAGAATTAACCCTCTACGTCTGAACAGGCGGAAAAACAAAACAAAACAAAAAAATCCCTAAGCCGCGCGGTCACAATTTCATCAAAAATCTGATGTTCTGCAATTCACTCGGAAATGCTGCCCAACTGTTGCAAATGCTCCCCTGAAAGGTTTTCCGGTGGAAACAGAAGGCTTTCTTTCATGGGAAAAAGAATTAGCCGTCGATGTCCGAACTTGCGGAAAAACCTTTTTTTGAAAAAATCCCTAAGCAGTGCGGTCACAATTTCAGCAAAAATCTGATGTTCTGCAATGCACTCGGAAATGGTGCCCAACTGTTGCAAATGCTCCCCTGAAAGGTTTTCCGGTGGAAACACAAGGGTTTCTATCATCGGAAAAAGAAGTAGCCCTAGAGGTCTGAACTTGCGGAAAACCTTTTTTTTAAAAAAAATCCCTAAGCCGCGCAATCACAATTTAAGCAAAAATCTGACGTTCTGCAATTCACTCAAAAATGGTGCCAAATGGTTGCCAATGCTCCTCTGAAAGGTTTTCCGGCTCAGGGAATTTTTCAAAAAAATGTTGTTCAGACGTCGAGGGCTAATTCTGTTTCCGATGATAAAAACCCATCTGTTTCCACCGAAAAACCTTTCAGGGGATCGTTTGCATCAGTTTGGCACCATTTTTGAGTGAATTGCACAACATCAGATTTTTGCTGAAATTGTGACCGCGCGGCTTAGGGATTTTTTCAAAAAAAGTTGTTCAGACTTCGAGGGCTAATTCTGTTTCCGATGATAAACACCCATCTGTTTCCACCGAAAATCCTTTCAGGGGATCGTTTGCAACAGTTTGGCACCATTTTTGAGTGAATTGCAGAACGGCAGATTTTTGATGAAATTGTGACCGCGCGGCTTAGGGAATTTTTCAAAAAATGTTTTTGAGACGTCGAGGGCTAATTCTGTTTCCGATGATAAAAACCCATCTGTTTCCACCCAAAAACCTTTCAGGGGATTGTTTACAACATTTTGGCACAATTTTTGAGTGAATTACAGAACGGCAGATTTTTAATGAAATTGTGGCCGCGCGGCTTAGGGATTTAAAAAAAAAAAAGTTGTTCAGACGTCGAGGGCTAATACTGTTTCCGATGATAAAAACCCATCTGCTTCCAATGAAAAACCTTTCAGGGTATCGTTTGCAACAATTGGGCACCATTTTTGAGTGAATTGTAGAACGCCAGATTTTTGCAGAAATTGTGACCGCGCGGCTTAGGGAATTTTTCAAAAAATGTTTTTGAGACATCGAGGGCTGATTCTGTTTCCAATGATAAAAACCCATGTGTTTTTACCAAAAAACCTTTCAGGGGATCGTTTGCAACAGTTTGGCACCATTTTTGAGTGAATTGCAGAAAGCCAGATTTTTGATGAAATTGTGACCCCGCGGCTTAGGGAATTTTTCAAAAAAAGTTGTTGAGACGTCAAGGGCTAATTCTGTTTCCGATGATAAAAACCCATCTGTTTCCACCGAAAAACCTTTCAGGGGATCGTTTGCAACAGTTTGGCACCCTTTTTGAGTGAATTGCAGAACGGCAGATTTTTGATGAAATTGTGACCACGCGGCTTAGGGAATTTTTCCAAAAAATGTTTTTGAGACGTCGAGGGCTAATTCTGTTTCCGATGATACATCTGTTTCCACCGAAAAACCTTTCAGGGGATCGTTTGCAACAGTTTGGCACCATTTTTGAGTGAATTGCAGAACGCCAGATTTTTGATGAAATTGTGACCGCGTGGCTTAGGGAATTTTTCAAAAAATGTTTTTGGGATGTCGAGGGTTAATTCTGTTTCCGAAGATAAAAACCCCTCGGTTTCCACTAAAAAACCTTTCAGGGAATCGTTTGCAACAGTTTGGCACCATTTTTGAGTGAATTGCAGAACGGCAGACTTTTGATGAAATTGTGACCGCCCGGTTTAGGGATTTTTTCAAAAAAAAAGTTGTTGAAACGTCGAGGGCTAATTTTGTTTCCGATGATAAAATCCCATCTGTTTCCACCGAAAAACCTTTCAGGGGATCGTTTGCAACAGTTGGGCACCCTTTTTGAGTGAATTGCAGAATGCCAGATTTTTGATGAAATTGTGACCGCGCGGCTTAGGGAATTTTTCAAAATAATTTGTTGAGACGTCGAGGGCTAATTCTGTTTCTGATGATAAAATCCCATCTGTTTCCACCGAAAAACCTTTCAGGGGATCGTTTGCATCAGTTTGGCACCAATTTTGAGTGAATTGCAGAACCCCAGATTTTTGCAGAAATTGTGACCGCGCGGCTCAGGGAATTTTTCAAAAAATGTTTTTGAGACATTGAGGGCTGATTCTGTTTCCCATGATAAAAACCCATCTGTTTCCACCGAAAATCCTTTCAGGGGATCGTTTGCAACAGTTTGGCACCGTTTTTGAGTGAATTGCAGAACGCCAGATTTTTGATGAAATTGTGACCGCAGCGGCTTAGGAATTTTTCAAAAATGTTGTTGAGACGTCCAGGGCTAATTCTGTTTCCGATGATAAAAACCCCCTATTTCCACCGAAAAACCTTTCACGCGATCGTTTGCAACAGTTTGGCACCATTTTTGAGTGAATTGCACAACATCAGATTTTTGCTGAAATTGTGACCGCGCGGCTTAGGGATTTTTTCAAAAAAAAGTTCTTCAGACGTCGAGGGCTTATTCTGTTTCCGATGATAAAAACCGATCTGTTTTCACCGAAAAACCTTTCGGGGGGTCGTTTGCAACAGTTTGGCACCATTTTTGAGTGAATTGCAGAACATCAGATTTTTGCTGAAATTGTGACCGCGCGGCTTACGGACTTTTTCAAAAAAAAGTTGTTCAGACGTCGAGGGCTAATTCTGTTTCCGATGATAAAAACCCATCTGTTTCCACCAAAAATCCTTTCAGGGGATCATTTGCATCAGTTTGGCACCATTTTTGAGTGAATTGCAGAACCCCAGATTTTTGCAGAAATAGTGACCGCGCGGCTTAGGGAATTTTTCAAAAAAAGTTGTTGAGACGTCGAGGGCTAATTCTGTTTCCGATGATAAAAACCCATCTGTTTCCACCGAAAAACCTTTCAGGGGATCGTTTGCATCAGTTTGGCACCATTTTTGAGTGAATTGCAGAACCCCAGATTTTTGCAGAAATTGTGACCGTGCGGCTTAGGGATTTTTTCAAAAAAAGTTGTTGAGACGTCGAGGGCTAATTCTGTTTCCGATGATAAAAACCCCTCTGTTTCCACCGAAAAACCTTTCACGGGATCGTTTGCAAGCGTTTGGCACCATTTTTGAGTGAATTGCACAACATCAGATTTTTGCTGAAATTGTGACCGCGCGGCGTAGGGAATTTTTCAAAAAAAGTTGTTGAGACGTCCAATGCTAATTCTGTTTCCGATGATTAAAACCCATCTATTTCCACCGAAAAACCTTTCACGGGATCGTTTGCATCAGTTTGGCACCATTTTTGAGTGAATTGCACAACATCAGATTTTTGCTGAAATTGTGACCGCGCGGCTTAGGGAATTTTTCAAAAAATGTTTTTGAGACGTCGAGGGCTAATTCTGTTTCCGATGATAAAAACCCATCTGTTTCCACCCAAAAACCTTTCAGGGGATTGTTTGCAACATTTTGGCACAATTTTTGAGTGAATTACAGAACGGCAGATTTTTAATGAAATTGTGACCGCGCGGCTTAGGGATTTAAAAAAAAAAAAGTTGTTCAGTCGTCGAGGGCTAATACTGTTTCCGATGATAAAAACGCATCTGTTTCCAGCGAAAAACCTTTCAGGGTATCGTTTGCAACAGTTGGGCACCATTTTTGAGTGAATTGTAGAACGCCAGATTTTTGCAGAAATTGTGACCGCGCGGCTTAGGGAATTTTTCAAAAAATGTTTTTGAGACGTCGAGGGCTGATTCTGTTTCCAATGATAAAAACCCATGTGTTTCCACCAAAAAACCTTTCAGGGGATCGTTTGCAACAGTTTGGCACCGTTTTTGAGTGAATTGCAGAACGCCAGATTTTTAATGAAATTGTGACCCCGCGGCTTAGGGAATTTTTCAAAAAAAGTTGTTGAGACGTCGAGGGCTAATTCTGTTTCCGATGATAAAATCCCATCTGTTTCCACCGAAAAACCTTTCAGGGGATCGTTTGCAACAGTTTGGCACCCTTTTTGAGTGAATTGCAGAACGGCAGATTTTTGATGAAATTGTGACCGCGCGGCTTAGGGAATTTTTCAAAAAATGTTTTTGAGACGTCGAGGGCTAATTCTGTTTCCAATGATAAACACCCATCTGTTTCCAACGAAAATCCTTTCAGGGGATCGTTTGCATCAGTTTGGCAACATTTTTGAGTGAATTGCAGAACCCCAGATTTTTGCAGAAATTGTGACCGTGCGCCTTAGGGAATTTTTCACAAAATGTTTTTGAGACATTGAGGGCTGATTCTGTTTACAATGATAAAAACCCATCTGTTTCCACCAAAAAACCTTTCGGGGGGTCGTTTGCAACAGTTTGGCACCATTTTTGAGTGAATTGCAGAACATCAGATTTTTGCTGAAATTGTGACCGCGCGGCTTACGGACTTTTTCAAAAAAAAGTTGTTCAGACGTCGAGGGCTAATTCTGTTTCCGATGATAAAAACCCATCTGTTTCCACCAAAAATCCTTTCAGGGGATCATTTGCAACAGTTTGGCACCATTTTTGAGTGAATTGCAGAACCCCAGATTTTTGCAGAAATAG